GATTATCTGGATCAACAGTGTGAGCGTTTATCTGATTTTCAGCGGTTTGAGGTGAGTCTCCTCACTGTGCTTGACAGGTCGAAGGCACTAACGTCGTCCAATGATTTATTATGATTAGGATCATAGTTTTCTGTGTGGCTCTTGCATGTGTAGTATGTAATATGTATCTCGGGCGGGTTCTGATGCTAGACGGGGGCCTGATGAGTATATTGTATGTTATTTATCTTTGTGATTCTTGTATGTGTTTATATGTATACCGGGTGGGGCCTGAAGAATGTGATGAGGCAGGGCCCACCTCATATTACTGACAGATTTGTTTCGAGCAGGGCTGGATGCCGGGCGGGGCCCGATGGTTGTTGCGTATGGCCCATTGTATGTTTGAAATGTATGGTATGGGGTATTTTAGGGAACTCGCTAGGCTTTGTGCTTACGAGTTTATGGTTATGGTTTTAGGTACTTTCTGTTCGACAGGGAAGGGTCCGACTTGATCGCAACGCATCCACCAATGCAGCTTAATAGAGTTTACCCCTTTATAAAAAATGTTATAATGTCTAGAATGATCAAGAAGATTCTAGAACATAGTGGAAGCCTACGAAATATTATAGAACATACAAGAAGACTCAAGAATACTATAGAATGAGATGGAAGACCCTAGAATGTTATGGAACATTTTAGAAGAGCGTGGAAGACACAAGAACATCATAGACTAATCTAGGAAATTATAGAACATTCTAGACACATATAAGCATGTAATAGATATAGATTATGGTAGAAGATTCTAGAATAGTCATGAATGTATGTAACTTGTAGGAAGATCTAGAAACTTCCTATAAGGAGGTGGAAACACCTATAAATAGATGTGGAGCTCATTTGCTCCGAACAATCCCAACATCCAAGTATCCAAGAAAATCCTCAAAAAAAGCGAAAGTGTGTAGTAGTCTCTCAAAGTGTAAGTTCTTCTTAAGGGTCATAATAAAAGTATTACTGTTTCCCACACAAAGAGTCATGTTCAACACGTAAAGCCTCTAGAAATTTAAACATATTATCTGACACTTTATAAAAATGACATATAATAAGTTCCAAACTAAGCAAAACAGATTAAATATAAATAGATATAGTTTGTTTGCACAATGTCATGACAATTGATTTACATTCTGGCTCAGTTTTCAATGAACATACTCATACATTATGGATATAAAGATGCTACAATTTGAAAGAAATTTATAATGCATAATAAAATATAAGTTTTATTGTGGTAGAACTCAAACCTTCTATAAAAATAAAGGAAACGGTGGACTGTATACACAACTAAACACTTAACAAGGTAGGCTTGGAATGCAATCACTCTAACTAAGTGTCACACCCCCGGACCAGACGGCGGAAACGTCCGGAGGCGGGTGACTTCATTGTGCAGTATCATAACAATTGAATATAAATGAAACAGAGCAATCCAAACATCATACATTGAGATAAAAAAACTTACATTGTTTACATATTGTATTTGTTCTTCGAGTTACACAAAAGAGACATAAGCAGAAAATTCCAAACTACAGTGAAATAGTCCTGCATCCGCGTCTCTTGTTACCTGCTTACTAGATCCCTGAGAATACAAGTCGTTTTGAAAAGCGTCAACTAAAAAGTTGGTGAGTTCATAAGCATTTTTGTATAAAATCGTTTACACTTGTTTAGAATCGTTCTTATTGTACTTTCAGAAAATCTGATATTTTCTACGAAATCGTTTGAAGCCTTGCTTTGAAAATCATGGATATGTGTGTGCATGTCGTTACTTTTGGTCATCCTTATAAGGAGTGATTTTAAAAAGTAGTGTAGTTTGTAAGGCGAGCTGTGTTCGAGAATAGTTCTTTTGTGTAGTA